TATTGACTTGTCAGTAACCCCAACTTAAAATCTTTTAGATGGGGGATTACCTCCAGAGAGAGGGTCCCCCATCCCTGGACTAGCGTGTGTACGCTCGCGCAATCACTTCCTTTATAAATCCGACCATCGTTGATATTGGTCATTTCTTTTGGGGAGGCGGGTGTGGACGTAAGTATCATCCTATATTCCATAGTTAGAAGAACTAATAGGCGGCTACTCCGCCAGTTCTAACAAACTATGTCATATAGGATGATACTAACGTACTGTTATGATAACTAAAAGTTATCTAACAACTGGTTAGTGTCCCGAGCTAAATTAGGCAAAAGAAATGAAACGAAATCTATCACCCGTAACATGAAATCGTGAACACTTTCAATGCCAAAACGAACATCCTAGCAGCTCCATATGACTGCTAAGAGTATTTAAACAGCAAGTAATACAATACTGGCCTAATAACGTATAGGCTGGAAGCTAGTATATAAACTAACTCAGAACAATTAATCACTTAACTAAATTGTTACTATGGATCATCAATTAAACGTTGTCCAGCCACAAACCTACCCAGTCTAAATAATCCTTCAGACTGGTAGGAGAGGTCTTTCAGGTAGTGATTAACGAATGTATTGGGACTTTTCCAATATACTGACTCCAATACATTGGCCAAAGTAGCCCTGTGCGAGAATGCCACGGAGTTGCCTAGCCCCCTCAGTTGATGGATTCCGACTGTCTGAATACCCCTATCTGAGTCAGTTTTATCTTCGTTGTAGGCTCTGTATATTGTGTCCTTAAACCAATGAGATAAGGTGTTAGGAGTGGCTGCCGTGCTAGTTTTGCGCGTATAATGACACACGAACATAGCCCTTTGATAAAAACGTAAAGACTCTGTCATGCGCTCGTAGTGCAAAATGGCTATTACCGGACACAAAGCCATCTCCAGTGTATTATTGAGTTCAACCTGTCTCACGTAGAAAGGTATGATAATATCAGTAGCCTCCTGATGCAATGGTTGATTCTTGGCCCTGAATTCCGGCACCGTTCTCAGTCTGATTTAGCCTGTCATTAAAGGAGGAGGCTGCAAGCTCACTTACCCTCCTTCCCGAGGTTAAAGCCAATAGAAATAGTGTCTTTCTAGACCACACCTCCAATGATGCTTTACTCATTGCTTCATAAAGGGCATGTCTCAAAGAATCCAGCACCTTGGATAAAGACCAGTCTGGCTGGGTTCTTGGGCTCCGTGGACCCTGCTCCCTAGTTAAGCCCTTCATGAAAGCTTTAATTTCGGGCAATTCAGAAATGCTTAACCCCAAACTAATATCAATACTGAATTCAGAGACGTCCTGACATTTTTTATTGTATCTGCTTTCAAACAAATATGAAAAGTAGTTTATCAGGTCTGGAATAGTGGGATAGAGTGCATGCAAGTTTCTTTCACAACACCAAGCTCTATATGCCCTCCAGTGACTCCAGTGATTCTCTGACTTGTCTACACATACGTTCTGACACCTCGTCTGAAAATCCGCGCAGTCTGTACAATTGCTTGATAGCCTCCATGCATGTAACTGGTACAAGGTGGGGCTTCCCAGGAAGCAATTGGACTGATGATGTAAGCCCGGTTGTGATAGCAACTGGGGGTCGTGAGACAGCTCCCTGGGGTAATCCACTAGCATTGTCAAATGAAGTGGAAACCAAACCTGGGAGGGCCAGTTGGGAGCAATCAAGGTTAACTTGACATTCGTGGTTGATCGCAATCTCCGTAACACTGCATGAATTAGGGGAAATGGTGGAAACGCGTAAGCGTCCATGTTCTCCCAGTTCATTGTCAGTGCGTCGCAACAGAGTGCCGACTCGTGTGGTCTCAGTGACACGAATATCAGCTTCTTTTTGTTTTGGTATGTCGCAAAAAGGTCGACAGATGGGTCCGGCCAAATCATGAACAGTAGATTGGCAATTCTCTGAGGTATTTGCCATTCGGTGTCTTTGAAACGCCGTTGCCTTGACAACGCATCCGCTACACTGTTCTGAATGCCCGGAAGGTGTAAGGCTATCAATATAATTTCCTTTTCCACACACCACATCAGTATTTCCACTGCTGACGCATTCAGTGATGACGACCTCCTTGTTGAGGTAAGTCACTGTGGCCACTGTTGCATCTGATCATGACCGACTTGCCTCTCACCTTGGGGAGAAAATGCAGGAGTGCTAACTTGACGGCAGTTATTTCTTGCCAATTTATATGCTGACTGGCCTGGTGCGATGACCATAGGCCCTGCACAGTCATATCCATCAGATGAGCACCCCACCCTGTTCCTGATGCATCTGTTATTATCGTCATCATCGGTTTCATCACCTCGAACGGAACACCTATCATTAGGTTTTCTTCCAATCCCCACCACGGTAGGGCCGTTCGACACGCAGGGGACATCTTCACTCGGTGGCCGAGTGGTGGCGCTGTTGCGTGAATTCCGCGATATTTTCGCATTGTGTCCAGCAACAGTCTCTGAATAGGTCTGGATCGCAGTGCTGCCTTCGGTACCAGCCCCCTCATTGATGCCATCTTCCCAATCAGTCCCTGACTGACGTATGCGAACCCCTCAGAACTAATGCTATCATCTTTACCATAGCTTTGCACCATCTGGGAGAAGGCATGTACATGGCTTTTGTCGTGTCTATTTCCATGCCCCGAAATATAATTTTCTGAGTTGGTGTCAATTCGGACTTCTCCCAGTTGATCAAAAACCTCAAGCTCTGTAATGTTTGACTTGTCAACTGGGTATTCTGCTTCACATCTACCCTTAGATATGCTTTTACTAGCCAATTGTCTAGGTAGGGGCTCAGATCCACTGTCCTCTGGTGTAATACTGACACTAATGTTTGATGTTTTGGAATTCAAATCGACGACAGTCCCTGACATCTTCCCGTCAAACAGAGTGTCTAAAATCCGCCCTGCTTAGCTCGGCTTTAGTAGTGGATAAATTGATACTAGCAAAGTTCGTTTCTTTTCAAACACCCCGGCATTTCCAAAGGGAAAAAGTTGAACGCATCTCTAAATTTGCTTGCAACAAATCCTCGTCAGCTACATCCCTAGCTACCGTGAGCTTTCTAATATTGTTCACAATCAGGGCATGGGCTTCCGCACTTATGTCGTCGCCGCTGATCAGTACCTTGACCGACATATCCAACGATAATGTGAACCAATCCCGATAAGAGAGCGCCAGCGTGGAACAGTGAATAGTGTCATCTATACGCATTAGTGCACTACAGTGTGGATCAAATGGTACAAAATGACAGTTCTGTTGCCCTGAATGAACCTATCGATTCCGCAGTACGAAATCCCTGGTATCGTTGTCCCATAAAGGTGGATCGATACTGAGTGGCCATATAACCTGAGACGGAGGGACGTTGACGGAATGCGTTTCTCATCGTCTGTAAGATCGGCGACTGCGTAACGTGTATGACCCCAATATCTCATTGGGTACTGCAAATCATATTGTGAGTTACAGCCTGTGTCCGAATTACCTGTGGACTGCTGATTACCCCACGAGCCACCTTCAACTACTTGCTGTGCGATAGAAGCCGACTGAAGTACCCTTGCAGACCATGGGAAAACTTTAGTCTCCTTGAATGGCTTATTGCTCTGATTCCACACATTCATGATAGCAAAACTCGGCATAGGAGACTCAGGAATATTAAATAACGACTTGACCACGATAGCACCGTCCTTGATTTTTTCGTCTCTATGAACGGATCGTTGTGGTTGGATCGCTGTTCGACTGACGCCTGCAAGGTGTAATCGTCTCCAACATCCGTATCCTTATCACCAATAAACCCCCTGTTTCCGAGGCTGCTTCTCCCAATCCGTGGACGCACGAAGGCTCAAATACCACTCGTCCGTTGACCAGTTCTCACAAACACGACAAGTATTCTCCCTAGAACAGGCTCTGCCCCATAAACTACACAGTGTATGTTTGTCAAACGTCAGAAAAGTGAAACCACATTGACATTTTGCCACAAGTTCCGCCATTTGTTGAGGGTCATCTGCCATCACGTGTGAGCGGGGAAAATGGTTAGAGAACTGAATGATAACAGTGATTTAATAGTCGACTCATTGCCATATGCCTTTGTATGAACAATTTCTTGCATTTACAATATGAATTCCTTATAAGCATTCGTCATCAAATATCACATCGCAAGAAATATAGTTCAAAACGGCAACTGGCTGTGTAGTCTCTTTCTCAGAACCCGTTTTTATTGACGGGCGACTGGTAATCAACACAAAATCGACGTTGCATTCGTGATCAAACATTGCAAGAAATATAGTTCAAAACGGCAACTGGCAGTGTAATCTCTCTCAGAACCCGTTTTTATTGACGGGCGACTGGTAATCAACGCAAGATCGACGTTGCAAAGAGCTATCCTGTAACACAGTGCCGTCACAGTAGTGCTTCGACGTTGGAGGGCGCTATATATAAGAAACGTGTATTACGTGACACTTTATCTGCGCGATCTAATGTATATGTAGACATATCTTCTAAAATGTTTAATTCTCCTGGGCATGATAAACTTATTTTTTTATTTAAATGAATTTCGATCAAATATTTGGTTTGAAATATCAGTTCAACATTTCATCTATTAATAATTATGTATAACGTTCTTACCCGTAGTGGGGGTCAAGACAACGATGATGCGATTATTGCCAGAGGTTTGTCTTTTCGTGTGTTCAACTGCAGCAGAGGCACGTGTTTCTTTGTTCGTATCTCAATCACATCAACATTTGGGACTTCGCCTCCAATTGATAGTATTCCAGTTCCAGCTTCGAATCGCCCGTAGGCTTCTTCAAGAAGTGCAAGAACCTGATGAGAAAGCGGTTGTGTGCAATGATACCTTGATTATTTTAACCTTGACTGCAGTATTTGGCAGTTTCAGGTGTACATGATATGTTGTTCAACTATGTTAGTAACGTTGCAGGCTTTTTAGAAGTTCGTTTATGACACGCAGCATCAGCGACTATTTACAAAGCGGCTGAACCGGCTGAGTCGGTGTTATATTAAATGGCTACTTGGTAGATAATTTTAACAACCAACCAATAGAAGTGTGCATGGAATCATGGGAAGACATGGTGTGCATTGTCGTGTGATAAGATTGACAGATCATACTTGTTTACCAGTCTGAAAGGACAATTCGAATCTACCAGGTGTGCCTGTGATTTACATAACAAAGGATGTTTACGACTCTGGAAGGACAATTGAAATCTACCAGGTGTGCTTATGATTTATATAACAAAGGATGTTTACGATCTACTGTGTGGCCTTTGTGAGACAGCTGCTGGCTATTGGCTCATGTGGAAACCCAGGTGGTACCCTGAATCTGGGTCATTTACACCTATAAATTGGCCAGACTAAGATAAGTTGGGGTCTATCCTTTCAACTGAGTACCATGTGTGTTGTTGCTGCAATATTGTGAGACCATTGATACAGGTTTCAATCATCATTTTGTGAGACTTGTATGAACTGCTCTGCGATCTCCTGCTTTCACCGGTGCCCTCCAGAGTAACAGTGTTCCTCTGCAAGATTCCTGTATTTCTTCGTCGTTGTTGCAGAAGCCATTGACTGTCCATCTCTACATCCTCAAACTGTGAGTTATCACCAATGCACACTTCCCTAGGCAATCCCCTATTTTAGTGAATTTATTCATTGTAATTTTCTGTGCTTTGTTTCTTGTAATTATTTTGAGAGGTATAAAAGCCATGAGCTTTAACTTGATATTTTGGTGTATGTGTATTTCATTTACAGTACTGTTGCCTTGTCTAGCCCATTCTTGCAGTGAAAGAACTCTCTGTCCAGTGTGAGTTCTGTGGGTGCCCCTCTCAATAGAAATAAGCAGGCCTTACAGTGTGACACTGTCTCCAGGTCAATCGAATTAACCCTCGGTCAGTATTACAGTCCCTCTTCGGTGCACTATATACACAAACAAAGTCTAAAATCAAGTTAACAATAAAGTCACATATGTAACAGCACTTACAGCAATCCCTGAAATACTATTAGTACTGTGCATCTTGACAGACACGACGTTGATTCATTTTGACAATAGAACACTGAACAAAGATCAGAAATCAATTCTGATATTCAATGCCAGGAACAATAAAAGCACAAATGACGTAATGCACATCTGTTTTGTGCATCTATAGACATGAAGTCTAGACTGTGAATGAGAAAGCAGAGTACATATCTAGAGCTAAATGGCCTGCTTGCAACACGGAGTAACTCTCCATGGTGTCACCACAATGGATGAATATACATTCTCTACACAGGGGACGGGCTGGGCGTGTGGCTTGTAAGAGCTATATAGTGACAGCGAGACCAATGAATACACAGAACAATAGTTTAACAATAGATCTTTGGGGAATGTCAGAATGAATTTCAAAATCTCGTCTGTTTGCATATCAAGTGTATTTATACAGTATGATAGGCTATGGTTCCAGGCATTGCAAAAATCGTATATCGCTGTCACTTACGTAAATTTAAGAGGCCATGTCTAACTAGGGGAGTCAGTAGAAAGCATTTTGTCCAGCACCGGGGTTATAAATGATTACATGGTATATGTAGTTAACTAAGAGTGACTCACCTCCTTGTCGTTTTCATATTTGCGAAGTAAATGAACCGTACTAAACTCCAGTGCTACATACGGATCCAACGCAATATTCATCTCCTTCAGTATGTTGAACATCATGTTCAAACGAAGTGATTTTATCCTTGACAGCTCACTCTTCAAGTCTTTTCGTTTCAAGTTCACTTCGCTCCGGTACTTCTTTTTGAACTCGTCACTGTTGGTCGCTTTTATTATTTGTCTCAAAAGGTTCAACGCGGTGTTTCGATCATCCAACGCGTCAGCCATGATTGTGGCACTTACCTGAAATACAAGAATAGTAGTGTTGCCTTCATGGGTTTACTAAACTATTTGTTTTAAATTTAGAACTTAGAATTTAGAAATTCTAAGTACTATATTACCAGAGATCGTGGGTTAGACCTACAATGGCGTGAAAAAAATCGTATTTATTATTCGAGTTACGAACTTACCCTGTCTGTCGAATTTCAACAACTAGCTTTGTACTACCAGACATACCTTGTGATATATGGGACATACGAATT